TATATATATATATATATACACACACACACACACACACACACACACAAACACACACACAGGTAAATATCTTTTAGTTTCTCCACCTTCCTCTCTAAAACCAAGTAAATAAAATAAAACTCACCGAGGCATTACCACTTCGAAGTCGTTCTGCTATAAACTCATCCATCAGATCAGGAACGTTAGCACTACTGCTGCCAATATCACTATTAAGAGGAGGTAGTTTGGGGCTCATGTCCTCTTTATTGACTAAAAATAAATAAATAACTATATATAGTGAGGAAAGACTTAACTGCATTTTCTAAATTTGAAACAAAAATAGCCCAAAACAAAGTACTTATGCCATATCAATTATTTGCCAAACATGCATTTATGAATAATTTCCCTCCCTTTAGATTTAATTTTAAGAATTAGTAAATTGATATTTACTTCATTTAACTAAGCAGATGTTAGTCAATCTTCAGTATAACCTTAAATAGCAAGAAAGCTTATAGATAAGCACTAGTTGAAGTTAGATTAATATTGCCTATAAAGAAACTGGTATATTTATTTTTCTTCCTGCCTCCATGCTTCTATTTTGAGCCTTAATGATTTACAATTCCATTTCTTTCCCAAAGAATATTTGCAAGGAATAAATCTCTTGAATCTATGCAAATCTCAGTGGGACACAAATGCATTTAAGTTTGGATACTTATAAATAAAAATTCTGTAATTTTGATATAATGTTGTTTCTATCCACAATAATATATAATTTCAGTGCTTTAAAGAAAAAAGGTTTATTTTCAGAAAGGTTTTTCTTTAAAACAAAAACAACCAAAATAGTTATTTTTATTTTTTTATGACTACATTATGATTTACATTAACAAGAAAGTTTTAAACTTTAGAAACTAACTTATAGAAGATGTTGTTTATGTCCCTACTATGTTGTTGAAAAGTTGATTTCTCTGCAATGAAAAGAAAATCAGCACTGTTTATATTCCTAATAAACTACAAAGCATTTCAGGTTAAGAAAATACACTGGTCAGAAGCTCACTGTGAAATACCATTATCTTTATACTACTTGCCAGGCTTTGCTAAGCTGTCAAATACTGCCCTCAGGTGGCATTAATGGCTCAATGCAAGATGCATTATACAGCGTAGTTAATCATGCTAACAAAAACCATGTTAAAACAAATAAAATCAAAACCTACCTTACTGCTGAAAGTTAATTTTCTATATCTGTATAATTATTTTAATTTTGAATCAAGATAAAAGAAAACAGTTATCATAATCTTGCTTTCTTTCTGTTATCTGTCCATAGAGGTTCCATATTTAAATCATGATTGGCTATCATGAAACCTTTATGCACATCTAAAAAAATCCCAGGAAAAAGAAAGTAATAAGTGTTTCAAGGGCATAACTTGCATTCTATACAAATGAATGCAAAACTAAAACGCCTAAGCATGTCTGGAAATGGCTTAAATAAAAACTGACTAAATCTACTTTGAGATTTAGGAAATAATTTCCTCTTCAATGATAGTTAACTATAATGTTGGTGCTGGTTGTAGACCTTGATTTTGATTGTGTTAGATGTCAAAGTAATTTTCTAGCAAGAAAAATATGAAACCAAATAAATCGTGAGTAAAAAATAAATAAACTCAATTAGATATAGTTGGTGCCCTTTTAAATACAAACTATAATAGAGTGTGGAGAACATAATAAACTTAATTTCAAGACTTGTGGTGTACCTTTCAGAAAAATATTTGATTAGGTAGCCTTTAAAGGTCATTAAAATTTTCCTGTATCCTCCTCTTTTCTATCTTGTTGTTCAGCAGCAAAGAGGTTTAACTAAATGCCTTATAAGGGAAATTAGTAATTTAAATAAACATTTTATGCTGGGAAAAATACAGCTGGGAAAAGGCGCATGCATAACCAAACAGAGAGAAAGCAGTGACCATCCCAAAGCTTTCTGATTGCTTATAGCTTGCTTCAGTTGCATTAAGCCAAACTGGTGCTGTCTTTCTCCTTTTGCGCTCTGCACACTGTTAGTGCTCACCTGCAGCTTTCCTTCCAAAATAGCCCATTACATGACTGTACAGATCCCTCAGTGGAGCCTCTGGTGGGATTCTGTTCTGCCTCTGTGGGGAAACATTTGCCTTCGGCTTCGAAAGAGCATGTACAACAGTTTTATAAACGCCACCCAGGGAGCCCTGTTGTAGTCCTGCCTCATGACTTGATGACCTAAGAGTACTACGACTACCTAACTGGTTACTTGCAATTCCTTCTTTTTGTAATGCATTGGTGGGAATCTCTGTGGATTCCTTCACTATTTTACTACATACTGATGCTGCACTAATTGTATCTAGAGGCCTGTATACACCAGGTTTTACTAGCTCTGTACCACTACTGGAGCTGGTATGGGTGTTGTTGGTACTGCTATTGCTACTACTACTAAAGCCACTGAGTTTCCGCAGTCTCATTTTCCAGGGTGCCTCTTTGTTTTCCAGAGGATTATAAAATTGAACCGACTCAGTAGATGGTCTAAAAGTAACATGAACACTATTTCGCTTTTTAGTAGCAATTTTCATAATTTTGGCTCTATGAGTTACTGTTTCGGACAAGCTCCTTTTAGTTGGAGAAAGCTTGCTAGTGTTTGTAACATGAGGCATTCTACGGTTAAGGGGTGCTTTTACTGTAGTTTTCTTGGCATGCACAACATGTGGAACAGTAACTTTTTCATTCATTTGCACACCCTTAAGCTTTTCAACTAGTGTTATATCTACACAGGCATCTAATTCTGTGGTTGTTTGTCTATACAGGGATTTCCTTTTTTCTTTATCACAAGGGATATCTAAACTAGGCTCTGGTGACTGTTTATCACTGTTTAGTTGTTCAGATTTTTCAGAAGTCTGTGTTCTCATAAAACTGTCTGACTGGTTAGGTGTCACGAAGACAGCTGAATTTGGCTCTTTTTGAAAATGTACGTCTTCAGGTGTCCCAACAAAAGAGGTGATATTTTCTGATATAATTTCCTGATCTATGTATTCTAATTTATCTAAGGATGATCTTTCATCCCTATTTACTGCAATAATTATTTCCTGAGAGGCTGCATCTTTACCTATCTCACTTTTACTATGATTTTCCTGGTTTTCCTTAAAATATTCTTTCAGAGAGGAAAGAAGATCGTCATCTCCTTCAAGGTCAATGTACTGGATTTGTTCAAAAGCTGAATCTGCAAGTTCTACTGGACCTATTAAATGACAAAGATGGTCATATATGCTATCACCAACTTCCAGAGAAGACTCCCTGCTATGAGTATCAGTGATGTGGCTTTCAGTGGATCTAGTTATTGAAGAAGACTCTGTGGAACTCTGCAAGCTTGGTGCATGACGAGATGAACTGTCAATGACAGGAACTGCACCTTTGGCTCGTTCAACAGTGAATGGTTCCAAGATGTCAGAAGTGCTGCTACTTCGAGGCAATGGCTGCTCCTCATTCAAAGTACCAAAAACTTCATTTCCAGTGTCTTCACTTTGTGAAAAATGTCGAACTCTAGTTGAGCGGGGAAGTATTTGAGCATCATCAATATCTGTAAAAGAGAAAAATTATACAGAGTAGAAACTATATGAATTTAAAAAATAAGTATTAATTTCAACCACACCCTAAGCATATGCTTTAAAATAAAAAAATTCTGAGTTTTTTTTGTAAGTTCATGAAAGAAAATCAATTAGAAATATAAATCTGTTTTTAAAAAAATGATGGGCAGAAGCCAATATAGCATGTAGTATCAATGAATTAGAAAACTACCAAAACACATTTTAAAATGTTATCATGCATAGAAACAGTGAGGTGACAAAACATTTGGAAGTGCAGTTAAAGATAGAGCTGTGCCAATAAATCAAGCAATTTGAATTTGTTGTTCAATTTTTCCTACTTATTTAAACTCCAAGCAGAAAAAAAAATCTAAACACATGAAGCTGATCTAAATATCCCCTTGTAAAGTCTCATGGATTCTCACTCCCTGCTTCCTTCCTAAGCAGGCAAGAAGCACAATCTTTTCTTCAAATCTTGCCTATCTGTTTGATCACATATTAGAAATGGAAATCTCTACCCTCTTCCTAAAGGTCTCTTTGTCACGAAACTACTTGTTCTGTCAAGGTGTTTTATTTTATTACAGTATTAAAATCTATTCATTGCCATCAAATAGTCAATACATTATAAAAAAAATTAATTGTACTTCTGTTTTTGGCAAAAACACCATTTAAATCTGCTAGGAAGAAACCTTACCCGCCTATTACTGGCCCTTCCCATTCAACAACCATCAAATTCTAAAAACTCTATCTATGCTTTCCTACATCTCTTTTTAAGAACCACAGAGTTTGGAGTCAAAATGGACATTTAGAGATGATCTAATTTAACTCTCTTACAAATGAGGAAATTGACACCTAGAAAGGTTCAGCTACTTTCTCAAATTTATAACCATGAAATTTGAGAAGCAGGCTGTGTTCCATGTAACTGCAATTTTTCACTGCCTTAAGTGCTAAGTATATGGTAAATCCTAAAAAATATTTATGAATTTGAAAATCCTAAGATAAAATGCAAATTTAATTGTTCAGATACATACAAATTCTTAAAGAAAAATTTTAGAAGTAAAACACAATGTCTATGAATCCATTGTGGTCTTTAAGTTACCTAGAAATTATAAAAAATTTGTCTTCAGAAGGCAGTAAAACATAATGAATAAAGAACAAAGAGTTGAGAAGTCTCTACTTATGTTGCTACTTATTAGGCTTGTAAAACAAAAGTTAAAAGTAACAGAACTATAACAGAAGAATCAAAATGAGAAAATTTAGATCCGGAGTAAAGCACTGGTTTGTCTAAGGTCACAAAGTAATTTACTGATGGTGTTAGATCTAGAATTCAGGTTTTCATACTCTACACTTTGACACCAGTTTCCTCATTGATAAAATGGGGATAGTGATTTAAAGTATTTTCAGGATCCATGTTATAAATGAAAGGAGGCTGGTCATGATATCATTAATATCACCCTCTTTGTACAAGGTCCAAAAGGATTTACTTTACACTAAATTCAACTCAATGGAGGTTTATATTATACCAAAATTCTAGTATTTCCCTGAAGATGTATGTGTAGGCTCCCAAATGGGTCAAATATATAGTATCTGGAATTGAAACAATTAAATTTTTTTTGTCCTTAAGCTGAGGGGAATATAACGACATTGGCTTTCTTCCTCAGGCACTCCAATCAGAAATTTTTCTAAATGAAAAAGAAAACATTTCCTCACAAAGTTGACATTTATGCATTTATACTCATTAAGTATTTGCGTTTGCAGCAGATAACACACACATATTTGTGCGCCTTGACAAAGGTAAATATTCTGATTATATCTCCTGTAATAGATTATAAGAACCTCTGCCCTGAGGACAGATTACATTCAGCATGCACTCCACGATTCTTCCCACAAAATATTCTAAAGCACTCAGCAAAGGATAAAGACTACATAGCTTTTCTATAAAAATTTTAAAGAATTTTATAGTTGGGATTTTATTTTATTAAAGTTCAAAATCAAGATTTCAAAGCACTAAAATCTAATGTTATGAGATGACCAAATACATGAACTTCAGAAAAAAGTAGAATATTAGTTATAATTTTTAGTTTCCTTTGTTAAAATTTCATAATTTTTCCATTCTAAAAAAGCCAGGAAAGATTACTATGAAGTTCTGCTTTTAGGAATTTCTTCCCAAACCCAGCCATCACTTTGTGTATTAGAAAACCATTATTTTTGCCTAAGTGATTTTTTCCTAAAATTTTATAACCACATATGAATATCTAAAACTTCTGTGCAAGTTTAAGAGTTTAAAAGCTTTAAAAAAAATGGAACTATTTTTCTACCAATAATGTGGTTATGAAGAATTTAAACAAATTTGCATTTAAAGTCTTAAGCTTTAAATATAGTTCTTAAGTGGGCACATGAAAATATTCGTTATATAAAATCAAGGAAGAAAATAATTGCTGATAGGAAACTAATGTCAGCACTTGAGTAAAACATAATTGACGTTAACAAGCTTTAAATTTAGTTAAGCAAATAACCTGGAAATTCATTGAGGAAAAAAAGACTAAATAATAGCTAAATCATACAGTGTTTTTCTACCTGCTAACATTGTTCTAAGCACCTTACATACACAACTCATTTAACCCTCACAACAACCCCATGAAATAGGTGTTATTATTCTTATTTTATAGATAAAGAAAACTGTTTTAGGTGACTGGCATGAGTTTACACAGCTAAAAGTGAAGAGTTGTGATATGAAGTAAGGCAAAAATTACACCATATACTCTTAATCTTGAGTAATGTATGTTATGTATTCATGAAATAATTTAATTTTTTAAATAAAAAGTTTACAAAAATTAATTGTATACTAAGAAACCATAAAGCAGCATAGTGATTTATCTCTATAAATCTTTCTCTAAGAAATCAAAACCTAGCCCAAACAAATATTAGTAAATTATATAGAGGAAAACAACTGAAAAAGTTTGTATTGTATTGCTAAAAATAATGGTGGCATCAGGTTTAAATAAAAATGTCCTTCAAAACAATTTAATTATTCTGTTTATATTTTAACTTGGAAAACACAAGCCTTTAAATTAAATTATTTTAATTTAAAGTATTAGAAACCATTTAATGAGCAAAACAAGAAAAACATGTTAAACAAATAAAAAAAAACCACATTTTCAAAAAATGCCTCTTGTGGAGCCTACAAACCTACAGAAACATCAAGCTTTATCTCTGTGTTTTCTTACTAATGTTTAGCATTAGAGGGTTGGAAATTACTTCCGGATAAAAAATAGTTTATTTTCAATATTCTATTTCAAAGAAAAGTTTCCTTTGCTAGTTTGAAAAGTAAGATGTACATCAAAGTATAACATCAGCTTGTAATGTGTAAGAAAAAAATTCATCTTTCACTAGAATTTAAGTTTCTTGAGGATTTCTGTCCTGTTCATCACAATATCCCCATTGCTTCAAAGACTACTTGTCACATAGTACGGGCTTAACAAATACTGGTAGAAAAAAAAACCATGTCTTTTATATAAAAAATGAGTAGCTCTAAATAGTAAAAATCGAGAGTTCTTTAGGAAAAACCTCTTAAGTTACAATACTAACATACACTAGCAAATTTAATAATTTCTGAAATGATTTACAGAATACCAAGGGCCAAAATCTTTCTTACCAAAATTAAATTCTTTTCTTGGTCAAGCACATATGTTAGCTCTCAGTAATAACATTTTCATGGCTCTTGAATTCATAAAATCATTTAAATTAATTTACATAGGAACTGATGTCATTTTGAAACAAGTTTTTTTTTGTTAATTACCTAAAGGAAACTGTCATTTCCTTTAGACAATTTTATACGTTTTTGCCTATTTGAGTAACAATGGCAATGTACCTTCAAGGTAAGAACCTTACAGAGCAACTATGTTTGAAATTTTATCATTAACAGAGGCTGGTCAAAACTCTATGGCTTTTCAAGACTAGATTTTAATTAGTAGGTAATTGAAAGCAGTATCTACATTACTGAAATCACATGAAAAGACTTCAAAGCAACAAACCAAGCTCCAATAAATAATTTTCATTTTAAAACATTAAAATTTAGCCCACTAAACTATCTTCTCTTTTATCCTTCTAATATTGTTTTCCTGACTTTTAAACTCTGTACATAGACAAATGACCAATATATTTTTTAGGTTAAGAAAATTATAGTGTTATATAATGCCATGTTTAAGTTAGCTTCTAATTTTTGAGATGTTCTTTTAAAAAAATTAAATTATTTTATTTCAGCCAAAAAAAAAAAAACACCAACCAAGTGAAATTATGCTATTACAGGTGGGAAAGCTGTAAAATATTAAGCTACATATTGATGAAAGAAATTCCTTGATTGTATAAAGGGCCTACTTGTTTGATTAGACATGGAAATTCTCCTGATAAGGCAGAATTTAGGAATAGGATAGGGGCATCTTCTTTCTCCCGATAGAATACAGAAGAACAAATATCAAAATATTTTGCTCTACAGAGCTCAATTCAAATAATAAAGCATTGTTAAATTAATCAAAAGAAATCAGCCCCAAAACATTAGCAGCCTACAAGATGTGGCCCAGACTAGAGTCTAACAGCAACAAAAATGGCAAACAAATCACTAGTTTTGAGAACTGGTTGAAAGAAAGTGGGTCTGTAAGTTTAATTTCAGAGTGACAAAACCATAGTACTTGATTAGAAAATAATAAATAAGAAACAGTTGCAGAAGTATACACAAAGTCAGTTGCCCACCACGCTTATTTTCTTTTATATCCCTTCTTTCATTAAGGCATTGTTTTTGGCAGTAAAAGCTAATTTACTTAAGAATGATGATTAAGATTTCTGGCTTCTCTCTAATCCATTTATCAGGAAAATAAAGACTGCTAGGCTGGGCTACCGAATGTGTAAAATTACATATCTAAGTGCTGTAATTCTCAATGGCCAATGGAGGAGAGGCCAGGGAGAGTACGCTTACCCAGACACCAGAATTAGTAGAGTTGTAAAAAATGATGTTAGATGTGTGTGCAACCCCCAGCATATTGTATCAAAATCTGAGGCAAGGGCCTGAAAAAATATAGTTTTCAACTGTTATAGTGAATCTGATGTTAAGAAACAGTGTCACTGACATAGTGTCAATATCATTGAACTGGTCCCCACAGCTTAAGAAAAACACGTTAAGGATATTCAGCTATTCAACTAGTTTAGCACATAGCTGTATATAAAGCTATAACATAGCATCACTTTCACAACAATGTAGGTAGAATGGACATCTAACTAAGCATATTGGAGAAGAAAAAGGGCTGGACAAAATAGGCTACTTCAAACCTGATGATCCATTCTTAGAGAGTTCAGTATACTAAATAAAAAAGGAATTAAAAGGAATTTCCTTTTACCCTCAAAATTATTCGAGAGCATCAGATACTTTTCTGACAAATTCTACTTCTAACCAAAAGCTAGAGTGATTGCCTATGTGCAGTTTCATTGTGGTTTTTTTTTGTTGCTGTTGTTGCTGGGTTGTTTTTTTGTTTTTGTTTTGGAGAAGTAGGTACAGAAACCTCAACTACTGATACTGGAGATACACCCAGGAAATATTTTATTATGACTTCATTTAAGCCTTCTCACATGAGGGAGAGATATAAAACCATGAAAAACATTTATTTTTTCCTTTATACAGTTCACTAACCTTATTAATTCTCTCTGTATATCAACTAAAGTAAAATTTACCCAAACCTTGGAAAAAACATAAGCAATTAAATACTTTGGTTGAGAATCTAATACTTTGGAGATTTTCATTTTTTAATTTAGCACTATTTTTATAAATCTCTACTTATATAACTCCTTTCACTCTCTTCCCTGTCCCCACCTCCCACTCTCTCTCTCAATGTACCTAACACTTAAAAGGCAAACTCCAGGCCTTCTGTTTGCCTCCAAGAACCACAAGGGCAATAACTAATCCAATAATTCAGATTTCTACAATGTAAACTGGTATAAGAAAAATTCTGTACAATTTTCATACTACTAATTTTTTAAATTATGAGGTTAGTTCTATGTTTTCCAAATTTCTCTCTGGATTCTGAATGCTACATGATATCAGTATGTGTATCTGGAAAGGTGCTCTATACTTAAATAAGCTTGAGAAATATTGTATTAAACAGTTTTGTTTTTGTCTTTTTAACAGGACTTCTGAAGGCCTTTAATACATTGATGTACACTATGGATCTTAATATTTTCCTCTATACACCTATTTACAGCTCCTGCAAAGTACACTATATTTATACATCAGCTTATAAAATGACTTCATTCACAACTCAGTTCTCAGGAAAGGAGAGGTTTTGCTGCTGTTTTGAAATAAGCTCCCTGCCTCTATTAAGTGCTAAGAATAAAATAATTTTAAATTCAAAATAACTAACTCTAATTTTTATATTTTATATGTACACGTGCAGAAAAAACTGGCAGTAAAAGGATTTTATCAATAAATTAGCATTGGTTTTGGAAGATTATCATACTTTTTCATATACTTTCCCATATAATCCATGCTTTCTAAAATAAATATTTATTGTTTTGATAATGAGATATAAAGTTTCTTTTGCTTTAGTGACTGATGTCTCAACATTATCTAAATCTTTAAATTTATCACTGAAGGCATTTTACCACAAGTAGGGAAAACAAAAAATAAAACTGTCATTTAAAAAATTTATTTTAAACATTCTTCATAAATGTTTAAATCACAAAAAAAAGGTAATTTTTTTGAATTATGTATTTATGGCAAAGCAAGAATTCTAAAACAGGAACTTCTCTCATCTGGCTAAGGCACTACTTTAAAACATTTCAAAGGAAATAGCCTTATCTTTGTTTATTTTAGCTTTTAAAAAATATTTTAGCACTTAGTTATTTGCCAGAGTATTATTTAAGGTACAGACAAGAAATTTTGTAAAGTACTTAAGATTCTGAGAAAAAATAAATCTTTCTTTTTTTTTTCCTTTTTGTCTTTTTTCGTGACCGGCAACGGATCGCAACCCTCAGTGTCGCGCCCGTACCGGACCGGGACCGGCAACGGGATTGCAACCCTCGGTGTTGCTCCCGCACCGTGCTCAGCCAGTGAGCACCGCGCTCAGCCAGTGAGCGGCCGGTCTGTATGTGGGATCCGAACCCTTGGCGGGAGCGCTGCCGCGCTCCCAAGTGGCGCACTGTAGCAGTGTGCCACCGGGCCGGCCCAAAAAATAAATCTTTCTGACAGCTTTTCAACAGAGTAGTAGAATATCTGATCCAACCAAACTTTGAAGAATTAGCAGCCAAAACTCATTTTAATTTTTTAAAACATGTCAAAATGGTTTGCATGAAATGCTTTAAGTATATATTTTTTAAAAAGCTTGAAGCAAAAAATGTATCTAAGAGAAATTTACAACAAACTGGGAGTTTCTTTTAGCTGTATCTAATTTAGTTATAAGAAGAGAAACATTGTTTTGTTTGCCAATTTAAGTACCTAAATTGTAATTTGATGTAAGTAACCAAAATCTGTGCTACTTACCTAGGAAAGTACAGTGTTTCAATGAAACACTAAAGAGACAAAATAGCCTAATTCTTCACTGGTAGCTAAATATTGTATGTAACAAAAATACATGCCATTTTCTCCCATCTATTAAAATTTATATTAGTCCACCTACATATTTTCTAATCTACCACTTTTTTGCACTGATAGCTTAAAATATTCAGGTTGTCTAATTTTACTGGTGTAAAATATATTCATTCATAGATCAAATACTTATTGAGCATCCTGGTTTAGATTGAGACCAAATTTTCTATTTTATTATTGTCATGAATTAACTGCAAAATCAACTACCAATTTCATTATAAACTATTTCTAATTAATTGTATTACAGTCTAAAAATACGTGAACACCTCTCGAAAACGTCATAAAGAATATTCTGAAGTAACTGTTTCCCAGTCAAGGTATCCTAAACTAGAAAACATATAACATCCAACAATTCAATATTTTATTTTTTCATTTGGAGAGCAGCAAATACTAAGGTTTTTCACCTACAATATTTCCAAAGAATACCAAACACAAGACATATGTAGATATGCCTCTGTATCTACATATACACAACTCTCAATTATTTTACTCACGTTGTTTTGGAAGAAATCTCTGATCTTAATGGGATTAGGGATAGTGAAAGGGACTTCGCCTGCCATATCATTATTATAAATAAAAATGTACCTTCCCTCACATAAGCCTACAGTCCATTAGAAACTGACGGGGTAGGGAGATAGGTTTTCAAAAAAAAAGGAACCCAGAAAAAATGGCCAATGTCAGAGAAGCATTCCTAACTCACAGGAAAGTACCCAGGAATGTACAAGTTTCTTTGAGCTAGCACATTTAGCACATTTTCCACAGTAACTGTACCCACAGGTTTGCTTCTGTCTTAAAGATAAGACACTGTATGATTTTATTCATACAAAGAAAAACAAAAATTTTTTTGGCACCTGGCCAGTACAGGGATCCAAACAAACTTTTGACCTTGGTGTTATAAACACTGTACCCTAACCAACAAAGCTAACTGTCCAGCCCCTATTTTTTTTTTTTTTTAAAGATAAAACTAACCTATGGTGATGGAAATCAAAAAGTGATTATTGTGTAGTGTGGGGGGAGTGGGTGGTTACTTACTCAAAAGAGTCACTAGTGAACTTTTATGGTAATGGAAACATTCTATACTTTGTTTGGGATGACAGTTAAAGGGGTATGTACAATTTTCAAAACTTATTGGACTGAATCCAAGATCTATACATTTTACTATATGTTAATTAAACCTTAATAAAAAACAGATCATCCCAGTACTGGGGATCAAGGACTTGAGTCAGAATTGGAAAACTGAGCAGATTTCAAAGCTCTCTGGAAATCACAGTTTCACAGAATAGTTTGAAAATGAGTCTTTAGCCTCCTACATACTATTATATCTGATATAAAGATTTATTCCAAAAATTTTTAGATAGTGTACTTTTCCCAATTATTGATTGCTCTTACTTAGTTCCATTACTATAGATGATAGAGAATAAACTATTTAAGATTTACCATATCATTAGTCAAAACAATGGGAAATTAAAAGTCAAAGCTCTGATTATCTTCAGTCATCTCTTGTGAGACATCTATGATATAAATAGACATTACTACTTCTTTTAACCACCTGAAAGGAAGAAAAATATCAAACATAAGCAAAAAATTGGCCATTTACAACCCAAAACATTGGACATTGGCACAGCACTAAACTTAGCACTTCCAGAATGAACTGCAAGTATAGCATTAGAGTTCAAATAACTCAAAATGCTGATTTCCAATCACTTTCCCAGTTTCCCACACCTCCCCCCAAAGAAATTAACTTTGAAGAGTTTATTTGATTAAGCAAAATTTGAAAGCAGAGAATTAAAAAGTGAAAAGGTGGTGCAGAAATTAGCAGAGGTGGCACTACCTGAAAGCTCATCAGAAAGGGGAGTGAGAACAATATCAGGCAAGAAGGGTTTGGAAGTATGGATCAGAACAGGAGCACTTTTAGCACTGCGTATATAGGCCGATGGCAGAGCACATTCACCAATGGATCGGCTTCTCATGGCTTTAAAAAAAGGAAAAGAAAGAAGTGGGGAAGGAAAAAAGAAGAGTGACTATAATGAAAGCCTTGTGTCACAGAAAAAGCAGCAACAGAGAAAACTAAAAGATACAAGGAAGAAAATTTTAAATTAAAACATTTCAGCACGGCTAATACTGGCAAGCTGTAAGAAAAGAATTCCGAGAACACACACAACATTTTGAATGTAAATTTTTTGGTGTAAAGCAGGAAAATTCTTTTTTTTATAATTAGCAATTACAATGGGAAAGCATTAAAAAACAGCAAACACTTTAATTAGCACTATGTTCTCAAAACCAAGGATTGAGAAATTCATTGAAAGGAAACATTGAAAAGAACTCAATATTATTAGTTCAAAGAAAATTTTGGTACCATATTTGGGCATTTCTCTAGGCAATTTAGAGCCATTCTTAATGAAGCTGAATTCTAAAACAAACCATTCCTACTTTCATACTCTTCCCCAAATAAAGTTTCCAAGTCACTCACAGGGCTTTCTTAGAAATTTTTATGTAATTCATAATCAGAAGGATTTAAATATATGGTTAGTGTTTGTTCTGGTAGGAGAATACTTAATCAAATCAGTATCTCTTATTTAGAGTAAACTGCAATAGTATCATTTAAAATTTTTAAGTAGAAACATTTATTGAAAACAGAATTTGTAATCAGCATAAGGAATCAGGTTCTTGAGAAAAATAAACAGTTTTGTGCTTATTCAAATCATTAACATAAAAACTTAAAAGTTTATGTTTTAAAGATAAAAAACTTTAAACAGGACTGCTTTTAAAAAATTGCATGCGTAGTTGCATTTGAAAGTGCACAAAATTAAAGACAAATTTTAGCTCACTTAAAAATAAATTAATCAAGTTTATACTTCCTTGAGTTTAACTTTTAATTTAGAGATTCTTTATTAAATGAAATTATACTTGTATATATTGTTATGTACGAATACAAGACAAACAATACTGCATAATATCTAATGTAATAGTGATGTTGGGAAAAAAATTTTGAGTATTAAAATCAATTCAAAATCCTGGGTTTTCATGACTACTGGAAACACTTGGTACCCTGAAGCCTTAATTCCTTACCCTGTCACACAAGGCCTTAGAACCTGGCTACAGTCTACCACTCACTGAAGTTTCATCATCTTCTACTATCCTCCCATGCTGCTGATACACAGAATTTTATACTGTTCCTTAAAAATTTCATGCTCTTTCATCATAACATCATGGCTTTGTGTGTTGCTAATGTCCTTGATCTCCTTTTCTTCCTGACAAACACCTTCATACTTGAAATATCATTTCATCTAAGAAGCTTTTCTGATTCTCCTGTACAACTACTGGCAACATAGCAGTAAACAAAAACAAACAAGAATTCCTGATTTTGTAAAGCTTACAATCTATTTTTAGTGGACTGTATGTTTTTATGTCAGCCTCCCCAACTTTTCAAATCTAAGAACCATATACCTCTTATCTTTGAATCCCTAGTGCCAGGTACATATCTACTCAATAAATCTTTACTGAACATCTATATTTGGGCAGGAATCCAACACAATCATTAAAAAAAACACAAAACATGTTTCAGACTGTGAAGATATATAGAGAAGAAAATGAAAACTAACTGAACCAAAAACTAAATGTATTTCATGGTTTATAACTGGAAAAAGATAATCATGAATTTTCCAAAAAATTTTATGAATATTGGCAAAATGAAGAATTCTTTAAGAGTAGTGTATAGGTAAATTTGTGCAGCAAAATGTGAAAGGTTGGAATATGTTAAGATAATGGCAACAATTTGCCTTCAGTGTGTGGCTTGCCATGTTATACATTAAAGATAAGTGTATCTTAAAATTGAACTTATATACAAAATGCCAGGATGCCAGGATCTGGCCCTATTTGAGTTTTCCTACTAGCTGCTGGTTCTTACAAAAGTGACCAACGATTTTATAACCCAATTTGAAATAAAAGTTATGTTGACTTCAAGATAATAACTCTTTAAAAGTTGTTAGAGCAAAGACAAAATACACAGGCAAAACTTAACGTACCATTTACACAGAAGGTAAAATACCTTCTGTAGTTATAACTGCATATGACTTTTAAAGATATTTTTTAAAAAACTGAATTAAATCAAGTTTTAGATTCCACTTAAATTATAAATTTTTAATTTTTTTTCCTTGGGGATAATTTCTTGTAGATAACAATTTCTTCTGCTCCTTTTTTCCTACAACCTATCTGAAGGAACACCTTAAGCATTTCCCTTGGAACTTTTTCTGTATTTGCAATGCCATAAGTTTGTGTTATGATCTGGAATGAATTCTTCAAAAATGTACTCCTCCTTTTGTTACAAAACTGTGGATCTTAACGCATACCTGGAAGTCCATCAAGTGCCTCACAGTTGTGCAATATTCACCATAGAAAATTATTTACAATGAATTAGCTAAGGCAACGAATACTGAGATATTTTGGGATTTACTAATCTAAACTCTTAGGTCAAAAATCTCTGTATAGCTACTGACATTCTTTTATTAATGCATACATTCCTAAATCACATGCATTGTTGACCTTAAATCTGTAATACGCTTTATGTACATAAAAGGGCAGCATGGAAAATATACCATCAGAGAGTAAAAACAGATTTTCAAACTCATGAGCATGCCAGTTCTTGAAGGATTCCTATCTTTGCTCCTCTCAAAAAAATAAAACAAAACAAACAAAAAAGAAAAATAAATGAGCTCCACATAAATTCACCTTGGGCCATACATACTATTCAAAAACTGTAGACTTCACTTCATAGTTCCCATACAGCATAAGAAATTCATGGACAGCAAATATGACAGATTACTAAAAGCACATAAATATACAAAACAAACATGAGGAAGGCAACTCTGGCATTTTCTTTTTTCCAAAATATTACACACACTTCTCCCTACTTATAACGAAGTACAATTCACTTTATGTATACATTCCTATCTATTGTCAAAAATAACTTTTGAAGTCCTAAAATTTAGGTCCATTATTATAATAAACTAAGCAAAAATCTGAAAACAAAAGCAGTGATATATTTGCTCCAAAAGTTGGATACCAGTTCCTAAATCATAACTGCAAACAAGCTACATTGCTTCTCATGAATACGTTCTTAAATAACTCCTATATTCAATGCAACCTCTTTTAATATTTGTGGGCCCACACAAAACCTTAGATATGCTCTCCAAACAAATTTTAAAAATTAAATTCTTAAATTAAGTTAAATATTAATAACAGAATTTCTGTTAATAAATCTATACTGAGTATTTGGGGATAAAAGGACTGTCATGTTAAATACTTCTTAAATACAGGCACGTTGCCCTTATTAAATAAAAAATAATTGTTAAATCCTCTTACAATTTCTATCTGAAAATTCTAAAAAGCAACCAGTAAAATAAGTCTGGATATTATATGACAAAATTATTACTTTACAAATGTTAACATACACTAAATACTAGCATCGCATAAATTATAAGGTCACTAGTATAAACAAAGCTGTTTAGGTTAGTCTGAAAAAGTCACACATTCTACCACTCTATTGGGTAATTCAAAGTCATGAGAAAGAATATCACAATTTTAACAAGAAAGGAACCAGGTTTATTACTAAAGGGAATACTGTGTAAAAGAGAAATATAAATTAAAGTCAGAAATATTATTAATATGATTTATTTTTCTGAATGCAAGTCATAAAATAATTAAAAGAGTTGGACAATGATACAAACTTTAAAAACTAAAATTATCACAGGTAAATCTGTGGTTATTTCAAATGTCTAAACTAGTTTCTGTTCCAAAAGAATATGTACATTTTTAAAAGAATACACATTTTTGTAAAAGCAGTTTTAGGTTTACAGAAAAATTAAGTGGCAAGAACACAGAGTTCCCACATACCCTTTACCGCTCCCCACCAGTTTCCATGATTATACACATCTTGAATGGCATGGTATATTTGCTACAATTACTGAGCAAATGTTGATACAGTACCGTTAACTAAAGTCCACAGTTTTATTACAACAGAGGATCACTCTTTCTTTTGTACATCTTATGGGTCTTGACAAATGTGTAATGACACATATGCATCATTACAGTATCATACAGAATAGTTTATGCCTCTAAATATTCTCCATGCTCCACTTACTCATCCTTCCTCACCCCTACCCCCACCCCTAGCCCCTGGCAACCAGTGATCTTTTTACTGTTCCCATAGTTTTTACCTTTCCAGAATGTCATATAATTAGAATCATAAAGTATGTAGCCATTTCAATTAGTTTCTTTTACTCAGCAATATCCATTCAGTGTTCCTTCATATTTTTTCACAGACTGATAACTCATTTCTTTTTATCACTGAATAAAATTCCATCGTGTAGATGTACCACAGTTTGTCCATTTATCTAACGAAGGACATCTTGGCAATTATGAATAAAGCTGCTATAAATTATGTGCAGATGTTTTTGAGAACATATTTTCAACTCATCTAGGTAAATACCAAGGAGAGTTGTGGCCAGATCCTATGGTAAGAATATGTTTTGTTTTGAAAAAAACTACATGTCTTCCAAAGTGACCAATGAGAGTTCCTCTTGCTACATATCCTTGCCATTATTTGGTGGTGTCAGTGTCTCATTTTAATATGCAATTCCCTAATGACATAATGTTGTGCATCTTTTCATATTCTTATTTGCCACCTATATATTTTCTGTGGTGAGGTGTCTGTTCAGATCTTTTGCTCACTTTTCAATGGTGTTGTTTTCTTCCTGTTGAGTTTTAAGAATTTTTTCGTATATTTAGGAACCAGTCCTTTCAGATAAGTGTTTTGCAGAGGTCTTCTCCCAGTCTGTGGCTTGTCCTTTCATTCTCTTAATCTTTGCCTTTGGCAAAGCAGAAGTTTTTCGTTTTAATCAAGTCCAACTCAGCAATTTTTTCCCTTTCATGGATTCTATTTTTGGTGTATCTTAAAACTATTGCCAAACCCAA